GAATTGAATGCCCTTCAAAATGATGTGCCACTTGACCCCCCTTTCCATTTGAAATTCTGAGGGTAACATCCACCCCTCCTAGGGGGTTGAACCCCGAGGGTTGAAAATATTCATTCAGAGTGTCCCCCTTGCAAATAAAGTTGACCTGTCTGACCATTTTTTCATATTATGTACTGGAAGGGAGATATTGAGGGTGGGAAGTTTTCAAATTGACACACTGTATACAAAAAGACCACGTCGCTTTCATGAACGACTGCAGTAGGGTTGTTTAGTGTTTGACCAGCTCGTAAGTAGATTAATATCTGAACTCCCCCAACAAAAAAATCTAATTCACAATGAAAGTGAATCAAAGAAAAAAACATTTTAGTTTTCTGTAAGTTTCCCACATTTTCGTTTGAAGATGAAGAAGTAAAAAAACCAACAAAATGTTCACATGAAACTCAATGAACAATCGATATACTAGTGAACAGACGTGAAGATGGAACATTGGGTCACACTTCAGTCACACTCTAACCAGCAGCCACGACAAAAGAGGGGTGATTGAAATTTTAATTGAGAGGACTTGACGCATGCATATGAACCAGAGAGTTTAAAATCCGGGTAAACTCTCTGGATGAACCCAATCATCTGAAAAATGCCTTCAGAAAAGCCTGTCAATGTAAAAGCTTCTCAGTCCTATGCAAAGAAATACATATTCATATTACATATTGCATATTCGAATTAAGATGTACGGCATATTAGGTAATATGGATCTTCATCCAGTAACGGCCGAATCAATCTGAAAAAAAATTCAAATTTGTTAATTTTTTCTCGATGCCAAAAACATCACCTACTATAGTAATTGTTTGGTAAAGTAATAAAGATAGACTTATTGAATTGACAATATCTTCCAAATTACACATAAATTCATGAATTTCTTTTTTAGAAATGGTTTCAAATATATTGGTGTACTACTGTTTATAAACTCATTCTTTTTTTTGATCTTTCAAGGTAAATTTATTTCAGTTCCAGAAAAAAAAAGTGAATTTATTCAATTCATTTCTATATGTTACTATATGTTCATTTTCACATTTTTTACACATATTTTTGTTTTCATCATTACGTTTCCTATTTCATTTTCACATTTTTTTCATGTATTTCTGTTTCCATCATTATGTCCATCATCTTTCAGTGAGCGGCAATCATTTTGTTTTCATCACAAAGTTCAACAATATTCTTGGAATCAGTAAGTGGCATTGTACTAATCTTGAGGTATCTGCATCTGTAAAATTCAACTTGATATAAATTTCTCTCAAATCAAACGAAAAACTTAGAACTTATGCACTCAATTTTTTTTCAGAACCTTGGGTATACATAGCCATCCCTGTTCTTGCTGGTGGGATCTTCATTTTCGTCATCGCCATTATGTGTGTCTATAAGAGCAGAAGAAATAGCAGCATTGACTTGACACATTGTCAATACCATAATGTAAATAATAATAACACAATCAAGAAAACTGAACCATTGCTTTAACTTGAATCCTTTTTGAAATGTTTGTGATATGTGATGCAACAAATAGATTCCTTTCAGTTGTTCTTCTGAATGGTTTATTTTCATAGATTAAAGGTTTTATTTGCCATTAGTCAGATGGCATAAGACTAAAATGACATGCTGCTGTCATTATCAACACTGAGTGGGGTTATGTTGTGTAGATTTTTTATTCTTGACTGTTATGAAATAGGAGAACGTTAATTTATTTTTATAATATGGGATGTTAAAAATATGATTATTTTTTTAACGAGGTATATTTGTTGATTTGTTATGGGTAACTTTATTTTTAATTTGATTACTTACACTTGTATATTTGTACATTTCGGAGTAATTTTATTTTTATAAAATTTTTTTCAAATTTTGGTGTGAGTGACTTGTTTTTCTAACATGTTCAGTTAGATATAATCTAAGCTTTCTTTAACACTGCTACTCATTCGATATTTTTTTTCTCTTCTTTGAAATGTTTGATATTCATTATGAAAGATGGTGAAAAACTATATGAAACCACAGGAAAGAGAATGGCTGATAATAATGTTTCAACTATAATCCAACCTTGGTTTCTGCTTGTTCGGAAACTGAAAAGTGCTAATGTGATTTTAACAATGTCATCAATTCTGCTCAGCTCTTCTATACTTTCATCATATTTTTTAACATTCTCTATTTCTCACTTTCGGTATCCAGGGTAGGTATTGTTGTATATTTTTGATGAAGTGACAAAAAAATCCAGTTGACATTTGATTGGAAATCGATTGTGTAAAGAAATCATGATTTACAATTATCATGTTTCAGTTGCTAATTTGTCTTTCAAGTAACATATTCGAACATGTTTTATTTAACACATCCCAATGCAATTGCTTCAGAGTGTTCTCAAAGTAGATAGCTGTTGTCATACTATGTACATAATATAAAACTAATTATTCAATATTGTTGGAGATCTCTAGTAATAGTTTGTTGGGTGAATATTTATGAAGTATATAATTCGAGTAGTAACAAATCATATTTCCTCAAAGAAATATGAGAGAAAGAGAGAACAAACTAATAAATGCACTTTGCTTCTTTCTTTATTTTAAATGTGATAAGTTGCTTTCTCTCATGCTTTTCGAAATCCTTGATGTAGATTTTGATTGTTCCTAATATTAAGACTTTCGAGAACTTGATAGGTTATTATATATTTATTATATTAAATGAGAGCAGACAATGTTCGTCTTGCAAATTTTCTTTTTCAGTATTCTACAAGTATTTTCATTAAAGTAATTGGATCTATCTTTTTTACATTACTTAGTGATTCTCTGCTTTCTATTTTAGTTATATCATATTTTGAAAGTGATTTAAATATATAAGCATTATATGTACTAAAATAAGTAGGATTAATTTATCTATAGCTGAGTATAAAAGTAATATTTATTCATATATGTTGTACAAGATTTGACTGTACATAATAAAGTAGTAGATAGACTTTCCAACTTGTTTTTTGTTCCCACTACCTTTGAAAATACACTGAATCGGAACAAATTTTCATCTGGGCATTCATCGGTTGCTGAGATAGCTGAGACATTCATTATGCATACCATTATGATATCCGTCAAGGACGTCCTGTTTATCCATTTCAGTTGATTTTTCCACTATTTCAAAGTTCTTAATAAGAAGTTTACAGACAATAAAAGTGTTTTGAAGAAAATCATTCATTTTGTGAAAGAGCCTTGACATATTTTTGTGCGTATAAGTTATGAGATTCAAAGCAGAAATTTTGAATCCTGAGAATACGAGATTCAAGTTAGGTACTGTGATAATTCTTTTATAATGAATCATAAAAGAACCAAATGAAAACATACCGAAATGATACATTTTCAAAATCAATATTCTAGTGAGTCAATAAACGTGGAAGCAGAGAACATCACCAAATAAAAAAATAATTGAATAAAATGCGTATTCAAAGATTGATGAGGCAGTTTGATTAGCAGCACATGAAACGCAAAATCTGAATGAATACCTTTAAAAAAAATTTCAAAAATAATATAACCCCTTCAATTCATAATAGATAACAGTTTACAAAGCTGCAACATGTGTTTCGCTATACAATAGCTTCATGAGGCGTGTCCATAGGTATGAACACGCTTGAGAAGCTTTCGTATAGCGAATAAGGTGCTGCAGTTTTGTAAACTATCCTGTGAAAGTCTCACAATAAAATGTTATTTGAATACATTATGAATTTTCATCAACTATCAACCATCATGTAACAAATTTCTTCGGCAATACAATAAAAATTAAAATAGGAACATTTTTGTTATTGATTTCTAATGAAAATTGAGGAAAACTCGAAAATAGCTGCATTATTGTTATTGGTTTCATCCTTTCAGTTTCCTCCATTTCGATATTTCAATTATTACTATTATTATTATGGATGCAGTTTGTGAAATTGAATGCAATAGTCGGTGTCAATGATTCTTCACATATGTTTGTTAGTATTCTGAGAGCAATGTTTTGATATATGAAATTCGAAAGTAGCTCTCCAAATGAACTATTGAAATTTTGAAACTTGTTTATATTTTGTTCCGCTGGAAGATATCCATTAAAAATCCACTCAGGAATATTTTGGTGGATATCTATTAAGGATATTTCGACTTGAATTTGACATGATATCCATAGATACCCTTGACTTTCCTTCATTAATAAGGAAGAATGATCTGAAAGTACGTTGGTCGAACCACCATGTGAGAATGGTAAAAGTAGGTTGTTCCATTTTCCTTTCAGAATATGTTTAATCGAATATACTTTTCGTAATATCACACTTTATAGAATCAGTCGCGACATCTTTTTTGTTCTTTCATAATTTATGGCTCTAGGTTTTTGAATAACTGATACACTCAACAAATGAACAACTTTCTTCAATTAGAAAAAGTTAAACTCAAAAGTCCCTTCTTATAAGTCATTTAAACTTAACTAGCTTTTCACAACCATTCTACATATATTTTAGTTCACAATAGAAGGTTCGCAAGTAGTCTTCATACCTCACAATAGGTATAATATCATTTATAAACCATCTTTTAATCAATATCTAATAAATTAAAACTGATATGGAATGAGAGAATCAAAAATTTGATCCAGTCTAGCTAATTATGGAATACATCCCACATAAACTTTTTCGCCATTTGACTTCTTTAATCTCGCCCATTCAAGTTCAAATGTAATTAAAAGTTCACCGAGTATTCACATGAGAACACCACCGACGCATACATCACTTTTGACGTATTTTTTTCATCTATTACACTTTCTATCACTTCTTTTACTTTCTAAATTTGCCGAATTCTAAAAATATTTTGCATAGGCAATAAGTAATTATGCAGGGTTCTTTTCCGCTAGTAAAAAATACGTGCAGGTGGTTGCTTATTTCTGAATCCAGCCGCTGGATTAAATTAAAATGATTCAAAAAGCTCTTCAACAATGCAACCAATGTTGCGGAATTCGATTCTTACGCCATCTATCAACATGTGTACAAAGTTCGATTGAGCTCTATGCTTTCAGACAATGCTTTTTATATAGGGACATAGTATAAAGATAATTTTTCTCAGACTTCACTGAAATAGAAAAAGGCGTACCACCGGGAAGTGTACTTCTAACTTTACTTTTTAATATATACCTACATAAATGATTTCTCTGAAATTTAAAAACAATCAAGTACTAAAGTTGTGAGCTATGCAGATGATTCCAATCTCATTGTACCGGTAAACAGGAACCTTAACTTGGAAAAATCCATTTCAAATAGCATCTCTATAGCAACCAAATATTTCAATACCAACGACATATTGTTAAACATATCTAAAACAGACTGCATTTTGTTCAAAACTGTTCACATTAATATTTCTATTCTGGACTATTTTCAGGTCAGTAGTGAAAGACTAGATATTTCGACGAGTACAAAACTGTTAGGAATCTATATAGGTAGATGATAAACTGAATTATGAGGTACATATTGACTTTCTTGCAAAAAAACTAGCAAATAAGTGTTATGCAATTCGAGTGTTGAGACGTCACTTGAAAATAGATGCACTGAAAACGGCATATTATGGGACTGTTTATCCTCTGCTGAAATATCGAATATTAGTATGGGGAGGGAGTACACAAATGGAACGTATTTTCATAATGCAGGATCGTATAAACAATGTTCAATATGAATTACTCAGACACTTGTCGTGGTACCTTCAATGGTAACAAAATGCTATATTTGTAAACGAGAACAAATCGAATTTTGAAGATGACAAACATAGACATGAGTATTCCACCCGACAGAAATCCAATTATGTTGTTCCTAAACATAGATTGAAAAACACAGAGCATGGGCCGCATTACGCATCAACTAAATTCTACAACCATTTACCCTTGAGTACCTATCAGAGATCGGACAAGGCAAATGTTTAAAAAACGTGTTTTCGATCTGTTGTGTGACATTGAGCCATATTCATTACAAGAATTTATGGACAAATAACCATTTTCACTCTGTTTCAAATTTAAGCTTCCTAGTAACTTCAGTATTACATATTACTTTCTACTCATCAATCTTTATCTGTGATATTTACTTATTTGTTCCTGTCATTTTATGTACTCATTGTATTTACCTATACCACATGCTTTTATTTATATTAATATTAAGTGACATTTGTAATGTTAATGTAATAATTTTTATGACTTGAGTTTTATCAATTGTTTAAATTGCAAACTTCAATAAATCTATCTATCTATATATTTTCCTTCTCAAGATAGTCAATGAATATTACACCATCAACATCCCAAAATACCGAGGCCGTAACCTTTCCAGCCGATTGTTGTGCTTTCGGGCGCTTTGGACGAGGTTCACCAGTTGTTCTCCACTTAGATGATGATCGTTTTGATTCCGGACTAAAGTGATGGACCAATGTTTCATCCATTATTACATATCGATGCGAAAATTCCGGTTTATTATGTTTAAACTTGGCCAAACACATCAAGACGTTCTTGTTTTTAGTCAGCACTGAGCTCGTGCGTCACCTACTTTACAATGTCAGTTAACTCACGCAACTTCACTTTCCGATCATTCAAAACGATTTTGTGGATTTTTTTATGTTTTCTGGTGTTACTACCTCATATGGACTTCCACTGCGTTCTGCATTATCGGGGTCTCTAATACCAAGTTTAAAGTCAGCAAACGTTCAATTGTTATTTCTGATGGAGCCAAGTCCTTATAACATTGTTCAAGCCATTGCTTCGCTTGAATGGTATTTTATCCTATTCAGAAGCAGTGTAAAATTAAAACACGAAATTGTTTCTGATCTATTGTTTTGAAAATAACAATAATATTGTCACTCTTAGCACAATAACTTACAAACTTATGAGTAGAATATCATGAAGTTTAAACAGTTTTCTTTTGAAGGTTGGTACTAACTGAAAAAACGGTGAACGCAATAAGACTAGCGCCGTCTATGTGTTAGGTCCGAGACTTTTCAGCCCTGGTAGTATATGAACAGAAGTGAAATGACATCAGAATGTTCAAAGTAGATCCCTTGTTGTCTGCAAAATACCTCGCTTTCTAACTAGCAAATACTATGTTATAATAGTGTTGGCATTATTTTGCCAGGATATTAGCCTAGTTCGACAGATTACTAGATTGAGTCTATAGAATTTCATTTTGAAGCAGCTCCAACTCAAGTGTCCCAACAAAACCTTCGAGAAGCCTTTCTGTGACTTACGTTAATACAAAAAATGTCAAAAATCTCTCATCGTTATTGAAAGTGTCACTTATCATTGTGTATGTCTGAAAATTTCACATGGCTTCTGTGTATCATTTTTTCGACGACGCTTTACACGTTTCAAAAGACATAGTAATCAAGTACAAGTAAGATAATTCAGACCCAAGTACTGTGAGTAAAAGTGATGAAAATCTGTTTCAGAGAATATAATATCGCTAACAAGCGAACCCACTACGCAGCAATAAAGATTCAGCGGCTTTTCAGGGGATATCAAGTCCGAAAAAAAATTAAAAATCTTCATAGAGCAGCCACAATGATACAGAAGTGTGTGAGAGGTTGGCTTTTGAGATACCATTTGCCAGATATTTTGCAAGAATATTATGATTTCAAGTGTATGAAATATTATAACGAAATGGCAACGAGAATCCAAGCTAGATGGAAGGGATATCAGGTCAGTTCAGTTCAATGTTTCAAGTCTAATAATTTGTGTACTGGGAATACTCGTCTGAATATGAATGCAACCTTATCCAAAAAAGTTTCTTTGAGATACTGTCAGGCATCATCGTAAACGTTGTTATAAAATGTCTGCTTGAAATATGTTCTTTCATCAACCAGTTGTCACCCCGTCATGAACGACAACCCTCAGAAATTGAAACATGTTCGAGCTAAGGTTCAACGAAGTATTATAGTTCAAGTAAAAGATATAGTGCCCTCTACCTTCCAGCAGTTCCCCTTTAATAAAATAGTTAGAGAGCTAACTAATTTTGTTATTCAATAATCATAGGTGTGAACCACAATAAACCCTTGTTGGTTGCGGTGGAGGGTCGAATAAACCCACTCACTTGTGACCTAACCTAACCTAACCTAACTACTTACTCACATATATATACAATCGATCGCTTCAAAAACACTTCACTAACTTTCTTCGAAAGCTTCTGATATANGACATTTGAAAGTTTCATCTGTCAATTTACTCATCGCTACATTCTGTTGGTCACCGTAACATGACTTCAAATTCAATTTTATGACTCTTCAGCCAATCATAAAACTCGGTTAATAAAAATTATCCAATACGAAACGCCAATTCTTCAGTCCACGTGGACTAATTCGTTGCAGCATAATTCCTTTGTATTGGTTTTTTTGGCCTTTGACTTCGCCGACACCTTTAAGATTACTATATCGGTTACTTCAACTATACCTATGATTCCTAGTACGGGTTGGTCGATATGCAGTGAATATCAATTAATCGACTGTCGGGCTCGTAGCACGGTTCCAGATACCGGTCAATTGAATGAGTAGAGAGTAGAATCAACCACTCCGCTCAACCAACCGGCTACCATCATGATGGCATATATTATACAACTATATATATTAGACTCTAGAGTCTAATCAGTCATTAGTTTATCGTATTCATAAATTTTGTCCACAAATTAAAAATATCAATTGAAAAAAATGTTATATTCATACTCAGCTTTCTTTAGTGGTCGACGTTTCGAAAAACAATCTTTTCCGTTTTCAATACTTGAAATTCACTTTAAAACTTTCGCCTCAAATTGTGAAAAGCTCTAAAGAACATTCGTTATACGTCAAAAAACACCTGAATAAATAATTTGTTGAAACGAAATTATTACATCCTACTATTCAGCTATTGTTCAGCACCAGTTTTATCGAAGCGATTAACCATGTAAAATAAAATATTCAATCGAACATCAAATACAAATATCATCACTTTCAGTAGTAATAATTGAAGATTAGTATTGCTTATGAACCGTAACTTACATCCATGAATATAGTTTTCTAAATTCGCTAGTATTAGCTGGTATAAAATCCATTCGCCAGGGCAAATACCAAAATTATTTTTCTTCTTTACTACTAGGTTTTATACAATAGTGACAACTTACAATCGGATGGTAAACGAAATTGTTGGTAAAATACTGGATGAATATGCATTTGGAAGAAATTTCTGAAGTGTCAAGTATTTTTCATGGCATGTTCAATGATATAATCAAGAAGTTTGAATTCATTACNAGACGAGAACATTATTCTTTTTCATGATTTTGTAAGGACTTTCCGGTTTCGAATCCTCCAGTAACCGCCTTGATGTCATAGGCCTTCTTCATCCTAACGCTGGCACTCCGGATGTCGTCCATTCTCTGCCAAAGCTTGCTGACATAGTCTTCCCCCTCAGTATCTTGTTCTGGCGGCGTCCCAAATTTCAGATCGCAAGGAAGCCGCAGCTCTCGGCCCATTATAATACTGGCAGGGGTTTGGTCGGTTGACTCGTGCACTGCCGAACGATAGGCCAACATGAACAGGTGGAGATACTGTCTTTGATGGTCAGAGACTACCTTGGACAAGTGGCGGCTTATGGTCTTATTTATTCGTTCCATCATTCCATCGGACTGTGGAAGTAAGTCTGTAGTTCTGGTCTTTCGAATGTGGTTTCGGTACTCATCTATACTTTTCGCGGCGATTCGCGGTGAGTCAAGTGTTTCCTGGCTGAGATATCGGTCAGGGCCGGCTTCAGATTCGTTACAATATGTAAAAAAACCTGAAAAGGGCAAAGATGTATCTAGAAGTTTTCCTGCAGATAACTTACAATGGTCCAATGTATTATTCATAAACGACAATTTTACTAAATTTTATTATTAGGTTAGAAAATATGAAGTATGCATCAAAGATTATCTTGAAGAAAAAGAATTGAGGATTAAGGCTGATGAGGAAATTAAGATGATTATGTCTCAACGTGGTCCACACCATACAGGTGGAGGAAGTCTCAATATAGAAGACGACAAAACATATATTGAAAAACTGCTTTTGAACCTTTTTGATCGCCACCATTTGCTGAAAACCCACCAGCAAAGCGGTGTCCTTTCAAATCATGGAAAAAAGTAAGTAGTTTACGGGAATATTGTTGAATTTTTACCCTTGATTGAAATTGTTTTTCATTGAATTTCAGAACTGAGTTGCAATTACTCTTTTTATTTATTGCTTTATTCGGAATTGCTTATTCGGAAAGCACATATTCAAAAACTGTCTTACACTGAATTTGAAATGTGCCGGAGATCTATCCAGTTGTAACCATATCCGTTGTCTGATACGAGTATTTAGCGGCACATTTTCCAGAAGCTCCGGCAGATCCTCTCGTAAAAATGTTTGACCATTCAAATTTCCATCAAAAAAGTATTTTATGTTCCTGTAACTTGTGTACTTATAATTTCTCCACACACGTTTACATGCCATTTATTCAGGTGATCCAAAGTGTTCACTAAGCCATTATTATGAAAAGTAGATTCATCAGAAAACAAAATGGAATCCAAAAAATGTCCATTCTCACTAAACTTGTTCAGAACCCATAGACAAAACTTGATTCGTCGTTGTAAAACTATTTCATATAATTCTTGGTGCATCTGAATATGGTAAAGGTGAAATATGTATTTTTTTTTATTATCCTGTATCGGATTTATGTTGATTCGTAGGAGGGTTTTCTATGATTGATCTCATAATAAGAAATTCGTTTTCCTCATCTCCAATGATGGGTTTTGGTATATTTACCTTTTCGTAAGCTGCACTTTCAGTCCTACGAAATTCATGTAGCAGTCGTTTGAAAACCAACTTGTTTGGATGATTTCGGTCTGGACATTTTCGGGCATACACTCCGACGCCACCAATCTATTTACTCTTGAGTGGGATATATTTTCATTTTCAACGGTAATAATGCAGTGAATATTTTGAAGAACGTAAAACACAATAACTGTCAATGAAAATTTCTTCAACAAGTTGAATAAATGTCGTTGCAAAACTATCTTGATTCAAATATAGCACTGAAATAAGAACTACTATTTGAAAAAGTCAGTTTCCGAAAAACCATTTAATTTAGACAAGGAAACCCGAAAATGAAATGAAAGAATTGAATTTTATATTGTTCAAGCAAAAAAAATACAGAATGATTGGAAGATTCGTCGCAAGTAACTTCCTAAATATGAAAAAATGAAAATAATTTCATTTGGTCGGGACGACCATCGATAGACCGGTTTCTTGCCCCTCGTTAGTACCGGGCAGGATATTTCAGACGGAGTGAACCGTCTGAGTATCTGTTTAAAAATCTGTTTAAAATCAGTTTTCCGTTAATCAGGTGTCGACCCCATACGAACGACAACTCTCGAACCAACAAAATTAATTCCAACTACTCATAAACTCTGTCTGCAGTTGATTCAGTAGGATTTCAACTGCGTCACACCTGCAGACGAAATCCGGAAACAATTTCACAAACACATACTCTGCGGTATAAGTCAGAATAATTATAATATTCCGGACAAGTGCATAACATGTTTAAATTCAGGTGAAAAACACCTTACCCCTTGCCTCTAATGTGAACCTACGACTTTGTAGATACGTGCGGTAGTTACCCGACGGAAAAACAACAACTAACCCAGCTAATGCCGCGCAGAAAGCTGAAGTAAAACCATCAGGCATCTGTGCAACGTCTTCCATTCAGAAGATTCGCCGCAAGTAACTTCCTGTATATGAAAAGTAGAAATTAATTTCATTTGGTTTATTTGGTCATTTCAGATGGTTCACTCCGTACTGACGAGGGGCAAGAACCCCGAAACCGGTCTATTGGTGGTCGTCTCGACCAAATGGAATTAATTTCTGCTTTATATACATAGGAAGTTACTTGCAACAAGTCTTCCAAATCGAAGACGTTGCACTGATGCCTATTAGTTTTACTTCAGCTTTCTGCGCGACATTAGCTGGGTTAGTTGTTGCTGTTCCCATGAGAAGCAAGGGGTAAGGTGTGTTTTACCTGTACTCGACCTGACGTTTTTTTTAGTCTTCGAAAAATACATTTCCTATACATTTCGAACTCTACCGTTTGTTTTACTCCATTCGCATGAATTCAGCATTATGTGGAAAATCGTTTCCATATTTACGGCGATTGAAGACACGATAAGCAAGAGAGGTGTCCTAATTAGCTTTTTTCAGCTATCAAAAGAGGTACTAACAGAGATATATCCAAAGTACATATTTGACCAATCCCAACATGATACACGAAAATATTTCTGTTGATGTAAAAATAAATAATGAAACTCGAAAGTTTGCTTTTTCATGTGACGTTTGCTCGATTTTCACTTCAAATGGATTCATTACATGAATTCATTACAAATGGATTCCGAGTGAATAAGGAATGTGAGTAACCATACCTAACTTAAAATTCAATATTCCCTCCAAGCCTTCCTTGCCACCTACTTGACAAGCTAAAATAACGCCTATGATGACATACAATGATGGTCGACAGTTGATAAACAGTATGAATAACTCGACTACTCACTGCTTTTTGGGCATTCTTCATAAACCAGAAATGTATCATAGTCATTCGCGGTAAATCAAAAAATCATATTATAGAGGATGAGTCAACAAGATTCCCTCAGTCCATTGCTATCAGAGGAAACAATTTTTCGAATCGTTTAATTTTTTTGCAATCTAATCGATAAATACTATCTTTTAAAATTATTTTCTCGCATACTGGGTGATTCAGTAGAGCGTGGCCAACCAAAGTCATATTTTTTTGAAATAGAACACCCAGTATATGAATACGTCATTCGATTCCATATTTTTTTAGCACTCTGAGTAATTTTTGTTTTCAATTTTCCATTTTAATTCACCACCCGCATATCTACAGCAATTAAGCGGATTTTTTTTAGGAATAGTTAGTCTACATCAATATGATAATTTCTGGAATCTTAACTTTCGGAAACAATTTATAGGGTGCTCGCTACAACCGGTCAAGTTTCATTCTTTTTCAAACAGACATAATTCAACTTTTTCAAATGGAACACCCTGTATTTTTTCATATGTATGAAATGTTTCAACATTTCACTACATTTTGTATCAGATGTATATCACTATACGAAAAAATGATATTTAACAAATTATACCAAGTTTTAGTAATTGTTGTAACCAGAAAAAACTGTATTTTCTTACGTTCACTTATTCAAATTTGTTTTTCCGAATATTCAAACTAATCGCTAGTACAGTAGCATTTTTCATTTGTTTGAAGGTGGTTGACAATGTTTCGTGGTGTATTTCATCAGTTAGGACTTCCATTGTCTAATTTAATATAAATTGATTTGATAACCCTGTAAAAATCAAAAAGATTAACCGAAAATAACAATTTTATTAAACAAAAAACTGAAATTACACAGAAATAACATACAAGCAACAACCAAACAAATAAAAATTGAAATATTAATAAAAGCTGAAAAAAATGAAAAATTAAAAATATTATTAACAAAAAATGAAAAAAAAAATAAAAGATTCTAAACCAAGTTACGTCACGACGTTTCGATTGTTAGTATCCACAATCGTCTTCGGGTGATAACTG